ATAGTTCTTTACCTCTCCATAATGCTTGCACTTTACTGTCTTAACACTATTGACTGCCTTCTCAGGTAATATGTCGAAAACTTTCCAAACATCTAAAGTCAATTTCTTGTTTTTTTTTTTTTGTTTTCTTTTGCTTTTTCTATCTTAACATTATCTTGTTCTAGTATCTCCATACAATCATATTCTACCAAATTCATAGTAAATGAATTTGATTGAAATATAGTGTTGATATCATTAGATTTCATGTACAAATTATATTAATAAAACATTAAAATTGTACATATTATGTGTTAACACATTTATTAAAAATGAATGAGTTAAAAATGAATTCAACCATTTTGTTAGGAATTAACATAACTGTAAACCATTTTGATAAAATAAATTATAGAGTGATAGGCCAAGTCATCTCTAATTATTAAATTAATATGTACAATGAAAGCCGATTTCTTCTTCTCATATTAAAAGATGAAATAAATAATGTGTGTATCATAGAGGAAATGACAACATAATTGGTCAATATAAGGATAACTATCAATTTACTTTACTTTTTCATTGCTTAAAGAAAACTTATCCAATTGGCCACCATAAAAAAAGTACATTAAAATGCATTTAATCATGTTTTCAAGTAAATACCATGGCATTATTACTATGCCCAAAAATAGAGAATCCTGTGGATATATAAACCTGGCAATGTTCACGAAATCAGCACCAACAAAATTAAAATTCCTTTGTCAAAAGCTTAGAAAATTGTTCCAGTGTTCCAAGTTTTGAATTTGTGGAGTAAGAAAAATAGGGAATATAGGTCCTAAATTGGCTCAATTAATTTTTTTTAACATTGGTGATATTAACTCAATTGCTTTCTTTTGCTGGTAAAAACACCTTTTTCTTGTGATTATACATCAAATATGGCTTAAAACGTACAACAAAAGCATGCATAAAATTGAAACTCTATCTTCAAACTTCATTCCATTTTATCTGGTCTTTACATCATATATATATTTTATGTTAATTGATCTACTATATTTTGTAGATGCTCATAATATTGGTGTTTGCTATGGTTTAAATGAAAATAATCTATCATCTCCAAAGAATGGAATCAACATTTACAAAAAACGTTGAATTCAAAACTACTTTAGTGTTCTTATAGGAATGGCATGGTGGAAATGACATAATAGCTTTGTCGAACGATGGTATGATTGCAAATGGTAGGCGAAAGGCGAGTGGTGGTTGCTTGGCTTGTTGGCTACTTAAGGAATGAGGCAAAAGCGGGCGAAAAGTGAGTGGTGGCTACTTGACTTGCTGGTTGAGAGAGGAAAAAAGGTTGTTGTCTGCCGTCTACCTAGCTTGTTGTTGCTGGAAGTCTAAAATGGAAGAGTGAAAATGTGAACATGAAATGGGGGAATATGATTTTTAAGGTTAACCTTCCACACATATGGCTTTAATGGAAGCATGTTAATTGTTAAATAATAAAAATAGATTGGCATATTAAAGAGTCTAGAAATAACTTTTAATTTTCAAAATAGGATTGTTGCTTTGCTTGTTTTTTTAATTTAGATTTTGTTTGATTAAATTTTTTAGTTATTTTATACTAAGGGTAATAAAAATCAGCCTTGTAACTGTTAGGTAAGAAAGTAGGAGACTTTAGTAATTTTTAATTCAAAATAAATAAATAAAAATATGAATAAATTACGAATATATAATAATCATATATTATATACAAGATAAAAAGTTTATTTCAAAAGCTATTTTTTATATTTTTATATTTTTTGTTTTTTATACTTAATATTAATATATACTAGAATTATTTCTTTTTTAATATATAAATATTATTATATATTTTCAATAATTACTTAATTAACAGGATTCATTTATAAAAGTTCTTAATGACTTATTAAAATTATTAAAAAATATTAAATTAATATATATTTAAAAAGTTAAATTAATATATTTATGTTACTTATAATAATATGATTAAAATAAAGTTATATATTTTAATTATCATGAATATACAGCATACTCATATACATATGATTTATAATAAATTATATAATCTCTTATAGTTATATATGGGTATCATATGATGTGATTTAGATTTTAGAATAAAATATATAAAACAAGTCATTAAGATGAGTATATATATATATATTATATGATATTATATTAATATTTTTATCATGTGATATAGAAATATAAATTATATAATCTCTTATCATTATAAATGTTTTTTAGAATAAATATGTTATTTTTAATTATAAATATATAATCTATTGTCATGTAATTTAGAATAAAATATTTAAAATAGATTATTGAGATGCGTATTTACAAAAATAATTTATAAATTACGTTTTAATAATATCATATCATATAATATAGAATAAGTTATATAATTTTTTTTATCATTACACATATTATTTAAAATATGTATTATTTTTAATTTCAAATGCATAATCTCTTATTTTAACTCTTATAATTTAAAATAATTGCATATCATGATTCATGTTATTAAGATTATCTTATAGTTTCTTATCATTATAAATGTTATTTATTATCATTATAATATATTATTGTATATTCATGTGATTTGAATTTACTTTGCTTGATCAATGCCCATATTGTTGGTTGTTGATGTTATTTGTTATTAACAATTAAGTGTATATTATCATTCTAAATTCTTTTTTAAATAAAAAATTATTTTTTAATCTTATTATAAAAAGTTACAAAGAATAATATATTTAATATATTAAGATTTATATATGTAATGTATAAATTACTAATATAACAAATACTTGCATATTTAAAAAGTATAAAAAAATTGATACCCATTTAATATGCATTTAACATATATATACATTTAAATTTTAATATATACATTACTAATATATATATATTTAATATATATTTTTTAATATATGCATTTAATATAAATGTATATATAACTATATTAGTTTTTAATACCAAATCCAAAATGATGAACTATTAAATATTAAAGAATAAAAGAATGATGCATCGTACTAATATTATTATTTATATTGTATTTATATTATTCATATAAAAATTAATTTTATAATAATTATTAAATTAGTAACATAATTAAATATTTAAAATAATCTTTATATGGTATATTAAATAGCTAATTGAGTATCATAATTTAAAGATTAAAATTAAAATAATCTCTATATGTTTATATTAAATTAAAATAAATATAAAAAATATGTTAAACATGCTTTCATATCGTGTCACGTGTAAAGTGTATATCCGTATAATACGTTTTATTTAAACTTGTTTTCATATCTTGTCACTTGTTAAACGTGTATCCATTTGACACGTTTTCTTTAAATGTATTTTTTGTATCTTACATGTGTTTAGACTTGTCAAAATATATATGATACAAACTATGTTGTGTCGAAATTTGTATCAACAAAAATAAATACGAATCATATTTTTTAAAAACACATATGATTTTTTTTGTATCGTTTTCGTATCGTATTACTATAGCTTGTCTAAAATTGTTAGGTCTAACATTAGCCTCTAACAATGTGTTGATATTGCATTGCTATATTAATTGTCAAGTGTCACGCAACATTATCACATTAGCAAAATTTATTTTTTTCAAAAGTTATAATATTACGTCTATAATGCCATGTGACATGAGTGAAAAATGTCACATGGAAGTGAAATGTAATAGTTGATATAATATTATTACATCAGCATGCTGTTAGATATTAATAACTAAATGACAAAAAATATTTATTCAAATTTTAATGAATAAATTAAAAATTTTAATAGTTAAATGATCATTTTAAGAATACAACTATAATTAAGTGATTAACAATACATTTTATTATTTTATAATGACAATATTGATATTTACGTTTCAAACAAGATGTTAAAAAGTTTTGGATATAAATATAATCATACCTTAATAAATATTTACAATTAAAATGTGTAAAGTGGTGTATATATATTTAAATATAAATATATTATATAAAAAAATTCATATATATATTATTGTATATAAATATAAATTTTTATTTTTTACTAATTCAAAAATATTTTCTTACTTTATATATCTAAAGATATCATTAAAGACAAATAACAAAAGCAATAATAAAGCGATTTTCAATTCAATTTATAAATTTAAAGATGATTTTATTATAGATGTAATTGCATGAGATAATTTTCCATGTATTAATTTTAACGTAAACATACCCTTTTTTTTTTTTTAATATTTAGAACTATTGAATTTATGGAAAAAGTTTTTTAATATTATAATGTAAGAAAAATGTATTTATATAATGCGTATTAGTACATGAATATTACCCCGTTGAAATTTTATTCTTTTTTTTTTGTTATGCCACTTTTTCTTTTTTTTTTAACGATCATTGATGATTACGAGTACCACGGAATATCCTGGATTTCATGCATTAATTTTATCCTGAAATAATTGAAAATTAGCTAGAAAATCAATGGCTGACGCATGCGCAAGCGCAACTCATTATATTAAACAATAGAAAGCGAAATTCGCATTACTACGAAGAATTTCAGTCCCAAAATGCAAGTTCTTGTCTATGTTGGTTGATCAACGCCGAAGAATATTGACTCTTGAAACTTTCAAACAAGAAACAGTCAACAATGCTGATACCCAATTCGTATTTAGCTCGAAAATATAAATTTTCGAATCTTATAATGGCACAGATGTCAAAATTACAAACATTACAATTTGTCTCAATATATATAGAATAATTTTTCAAATATATTAATTCCTTGCTGTATATGTTAAGCTTTGGGAATATTAATTTGTACCAAATCTTTCCATATTATGCAAATAATTGGATCTTGCACACGTTATTTATTTTTTATAAAACAATCTTTAATTCATTTTTTGAATTTTAATAATGTATTTTTTTTTTACATTAATTTGGTGCATTCATAATTTTATTTTAATACATTTCGGATCGAACTTTGGCTGACAAAGAAAAAAAATCTAAAAACTCTAACCAAGATACATTAATTACATTAATGTTGTAATGATAGGAATAATGCTCTTCCTAATTATATTAATTAATAAATTACAGGTAAAAAGATTGAGGAGCCTTATCGATTGGAAAAACTCTTACTTCAACCGGGAAAAAACAGAGGAAAGCAAAAGCAGAGCCATGTTTACAAACTACAAGCAGAGACATTTGGTGGATTACAACAGATTCAGCATCTGGAAAAAAAATCAATTTTGATCAAATTAGTGCATCCACTCTTATTGATTGTCTCTTTTTACAAGGAGAACATGGCTAATCATTTACAGAAATGAAAAGTAAGACAGAAATAGAATTAATTTCTATTCCAAACTCCCCAAATACTGTCTCCAATGAAGCTTACAATGCCCCTGATGGAACCCCTTTCGGATTCTACTTCCCCTTGATCACTTTGGGAATTCATTTCCACAAATTCCAGTTGTTGATGATCATTCAAGGTAACCAACCCTTTCCCAGAACTGATTCCCTGATCATTTCCATGCTTGGAATCATGAATAGAGACTCTCTTTCTCCTCCCTTTCTTGTTCTTCTTAACTTGTTTATTCTCTTCGAACAACCCTTCCTCGTACGCCTCTATAATCTCATGTATCAGCTGACGGTTTGGGGATGAATCCCAACGTGCCCAGAAACACATGTAACACGTAAAACAGTTGCATTGAAACGTAGGATCATGCTCCTTATTATCAATTCTACACTTGCTTGTAGCTTTCTGATGACCAGGGAAGTTGTTGCCGGCGGTGGAAGAGGAGCCGCTGCAACATGAGATTAGATAGGCTAAGACTTCTTTGTCTTGGAGAGAGAGTGCGGCGGTGAGGCTGAGAACCGTCGCCGGAAGCAAAGACAAGTGATCGGCAATGGTTGGTGGTGGCGGTGGTGGTGAAGGGTGCACTTTACCTTTCCTGTAAAGCTTTTTCATGGTGGTTGTTGGGTTCTTTTTTTGGTGGTCTGGTCTGATTTTCTTGAAGGCTTTGGTCTTATGTTCTGGTTTCTGCGTATGTTATGACTTATAAGTGTATGCCTTTCTTGAACATTTGATTCCTACGAAAATCACATTGAAATTTCATTCCATGTTTGTCTTTCTAATTTTTCTAAATTGGATGTTTCTATGGAAAAAATTAGATAGCTTTCATTCACGCGCATCTTGGAGCGTGGAAAACGATTCTTTTTAAAAGATTGATTAAAAATATATTTAGAGATCACACAATTAAATACTTTGAAGACACAGGCATGGTTTAATTTTATCAATATAATTAAAGAAAATGGGAGATGTATAAATTATTTCAAATATATATGGCCAAAAAAATAACAACAATTTTTATCAAAGTGCATATCATTTTGATCAAAATATTTTTATGGACCTGAGATAGAATAACTTAGTATTTAATACATTAATAATTTATTAATAACAACAAATTATAGAATAACTTAGTATTTAATACATTGATAATTTATTAATAACAACAAATTATAGAATAACTTAGTATTTAATACATTGATAATTTATTAATAACAACAAATTAAGTGTTTGATTTAGATTTAATGCAATGTTCTTTTATATATAATTATATAAAATTATTTTCAATAATGATATTTACATTACATGTACTTAAATCCAATAGTGAATAATGCATATTCAATTAAATTTAGAATTAATATTCATTTAAATTATATATAATTAATTTATAATTATTTTCTTACTTAATTTAAGATCATTAAATTTCAATCATAGATTTAATTAAAAAAGCATTACTTGCCTTATATAAAATAATAAAAAATTTCATTACTTTTTAAGTAACAGAGAGAATTTTTTCACATGTCTAAGTTATCTTTTATATGAGATATACGTAATTTCTGTCTATAACATATAAATTAATTGATAATTTAATTGATAGTTTGAAACACATGAAATGAATGAATATTTTATTAAGTGACTAAGATTAAATTTACCACTACATTATGATTTAATATTGAATTTTGTTACTAAACTCCAATTTTTTGAATATTTTCACTATATTCTTATTTTCATTAATTTTTAAAAAATAATATAATTGAAATATTTCATGAAATATTATATTAATGCAAATGGTAAATATTTTTTATAAACTCTATTATTTTTTGTTTAAAAATCAACAAAATGTAAAATATATTGGCAAAAATTAAATGAAATCAAAGTATAAGATATAGTAACAAAATTCAATATTAATACATAATATAGTAAGAATTTAATCTTAATCCTTTCCATTAACCATTAAGAAAGTGCAATACATATAGATCATATTTGGTGTATAAGATGATGGATATGATAAGATACGATGATAATTATATTATATTATATTTAATTTGTATCTAAAGAAAAATGATAGGATTACAAAGATAATTTAATCATTCTCTTGGTATAGAATGATTCAATCCTTCTAAAGTGAAAAGTATTATTTTTAATCCATAAGATTGAACTTACATATTCTATTATACCCTTAAAAATTACATTAATAATTTAAATTAGAGTAAATAGCACATGTGGTCCCTAAACTTTGGGCCATATTTTATATTGGTCTCTAAACTTTAAAAAAGTTTTAATTGAGTTCTCAATTGCCTAAATGTGTATCAATGTAATCCCTCTATCTGTTGTACCATCCAAAATTGATGGAAAATCCAGTGTAACATAACACGTAACCTTACAATCAATGACAAATATATTGTAGGCCTTTCACGTTGGTTGAATAGGTGTGGCCCCTTCTTTTCAGCTCTAAACAACACCGTTTGTATAAAGTAAAAAACTTTAAAGTCAGCAACTTCTAGTTTTCTTTCTAAGCTTTCTTTTCTTGTTCAACCTCTCTTTAAATTCCTTCTTTTTCAAACCCAATCAATATCAATAGTACTAACCCAAAAGCCAGCACCTACCATTACGAAGCTGTCCACTACTTTCATTATCAACTGTCGATTTTGCTAATGACCACCGTCGATCTCTATACTTATACTAAAAACTTCTTTCGAATTTCCTTTTCTCTTCACTGATCGAGACTTAGCTACAACCTAAATCTTAGCGAATTTGACCTTTTTTTTTTTGGAAAACCCAAACAGAACCACTAGACTCTGAAAAATTTTGCTGCTAGACTTTTCTTTTGCAATGCCTCTCTTTTTACATTCGACTTTTGTTTAATCTTAATGGGTTATGTTTTCTGGGTTAAAACACTTACTTCTCTGCAAACTGGTTTAGATGATGGTCAATTATCAAGTGTAATTACTTATAGGTTATAAGTATGGATGATTTTGAGTTTGCTTGCTAGTGTTGTGGGTTTTTGCTAAATTGGAGATTGTGGATTGATTGAGTGATGATTTTTTGATTGGTGATTTCTAGTGGGTTTTTAGGTATGGGTTTGATGAATTTTTTATTTGGAGGCTAATTGAATTTGCTACTAAATTATTTAAATGTCTGTTGCTGAATTGTTTCCCCTGTATATTGCTTGATGTGTGCTTGATTGCTTCTATCTTTGATTACTTGTTATTTATTTCTTGAATTGTCTGATTTCTTTTTTGGCCGAGAATTCTTTTGCTTAAAATTAAGGACAAAATATTAACTTTGCATGTAATACAACTTTGTAAGTGTATTTGTCATGGCACACTGGATTTATGTCAAGCCATGATTGATTTTTTATCAATTTAGACAATTCAATAGACGAAGGGACTACATCAATACACGTTTGCGTAATTGAAGACTGAATTAGAACTTTTTAAAGTTTATGGACCAATATAAAATTTGGCTTAAAATTTAGGGATCACATATGTCATTTACTCTTTAAATTTTATAAATTTTGAGGAAGGATAATTTTAACTAATAAATAAATTATCTTACTATAATCTTTGCACACATCAAACATAAGATAGGATAATATTATTTAAACTAATTTTATTCATAATATCATCTTATCATATTCTATCTTATTATAATTTTATATATCAAACACATCCATAATATATAGCCTATACCAAAATATATAACGCTCCTAATCCCACATTGGAAGAATATATGAATAAGAAATTATATATATGTAAAGATCTAAACATAAACTAGTGAGACGCCTTTGTGAGATAAAATTGTGATATCTTTAGGTCAAAGAGGAGTAAGTCTCCACAAATGGCGTCAGAGCGATCACCAGACGACGAAAACTAAGTGCTACATCGTGAGAGTCACTAAGTGCTATAGGGTGGGAAGCCACTTCTAGAATCCCAACATCTGGTGTGATCTTGATACTGTAGTTGAACTTGGCTTGACAGAGACGTCAAACTTTAAAGATGGGGAGATTGTAACGCCCAAAATCTCACATTGAAAGAATGTGTGGATAATGAATGATATATATGTAGAGATCTAAACCCAAACTTGTGAGGCACCTTTGTGAGATAATCCGTGAGAGCTTTGGGTCAAATTGGATAATACCTCACAAGTTAAGTGTGAGTTTCCACAAAATATGCCTGAAGCATTACTGGTGGTGGAACTTAAAAGGTGAAATACTCCTTAAGGCACACTTTCAAGTCCTACAAACGTATATACAAAGACCAAAACTAGTGAGATTAATTCTTCCATAATTACTATCAACTGAGTATTAATTCAAATAATATGTATATTGTTCAAATTTTTAGAAGTTATAGATTAGAAAGGATTAAGATATTTAATATCATTTTCACATGACTTAACTAAATAGTAATAAGGAATGAAGATTAAGTATAGATTATTTTTGTTAAAAAAATTCCATAATTATTGTCTATTTTAGCATAGTTGTAATTTTTGTTATATATATTTACTCAATCAATAAGATTAATTCTCTAGACTGCCTAATCAACACATATCCGATTGTTAGGTCATCATCTGTAAGGATAGACATCCAAATCCTTCCTCATAGAACTAACTCATCTTTTGTCAAGGAAAAGCTCGTCCAACACTTCCACAAATGTCTCATCAAAGTATCATTTTAAAATCGTATGCTTGGCCTCTAACTTATTTGGAACCATTAAATATAGCAAATACTTGCTTAAGATCATTCAATTTAGTTCGCAATCACGCTCGTGAACCTTCCTTAAGTTCCATGTAAACTAACAATCAATTATTAACTATCTCGGTTATGTCATCACCCTTCACCTCATATATGAGATAAAAAAAGAGGCCCAAGCACATAAGACTTAAACATCCTTCTCTTTGAAGCTTCCTCAATACACTTTGTTTACCTTCTTGCTCATAAAAGCCTCAAACATTTTTACTGATTTAAGCGTTGGAGGGAATTTTGAAAAACCAACTTTGATATCCCTTGAACATATTTTCTAAATACAAATCTAAATTCCCTCACACTCAACCTCCAGTCAACTTCCTTCCACCTAAACATCCAAAACCACCGTCAATAACTTTAAACTAAGACTTCAAGCTCTTTTAAAGCATCTCTTCTTGAGTAAAGGCTTTTGGCAGACCAAAGCCAACAAGGTAATAAAACAATGGAAACCATGCACGTGAGCAATATACAAATATCCTTGTTGATTTAGCTTGTTAAGTCTTTTCGACTGGTCCAAAGAAACGAATGGTACTTAAAAACAACCATGCATATGAGCAATATACAAATATCTTTGTTGATTTAACTTGTTATTCTTTTCGACTAGTCCAAAGAAACGAATGGTACTTAAAAACAAATGGCTTTGTACATGAAATTAATGTTTGGACACTCAAAAAAATACAGCCTCAAGCATGTGACAGTGTTTCCCTAACATAAAACATTATCATTTTTGTTTTACTATATATGGATTTGATATTCTATTCATGCAATTTGCTCGTCTCATTCAATCATTTTGTTGTATGAACCTCCACCATATATTTTTTCCCATATTTAGTAGTTGAGGAATGGATATTTATGAATAAGATTAGTTGTTTTTGATCTTTTCATTCTAAGCTAATTGATAATTGATCACATATAATACTTCAATTAGTTAATTAACTACATCTTCTGTTTTTCTTTCTCAAAGAAAAGATGGGAATAGGCCGACGGGAGTTAATTGAGCTGGTATAAAAGTTGAATATTTCACTTATAAAATTAAAGTTCAATTTTCATTATCAACAATCTTTTTTAATGGATAATTTATAAATCTAAAATAATTTTTTTTGAACTCTACAGTATACTTTGATCCTAAAATGAAATAACTTTCCTTCACCTAAACTTTCACAGCACCATCGAAATGATGGTACTATTCTTTTCCTTCCATCCTTTATTCCTTCACTAGTAAAGATTAGTGTTGTAGCTATGTGAATTCAACTTTGGGTGCATTTGAGATCAATCTGAATTCTCAATTCATCAACATAATTTATGAGATCAAATTTTAAATAAATTTAAAGATGTGATTAAATTGAAACTTTGAGAACTTTTCTTTTGAATGTGTTTCTGTGTCTATACATAAACAAATGCCACTTGATTCAAAGCCGTCGATTTAAAACATAAATTAAATTTTAATATATCTAGACCATTTAAAAGAATTTTAAAGTAAATTCAAACAGAATAAATATACGATGCAGTTAATTTTTATTATACATCAAATCACTAAAAAACTTAAAAAAGTTATATTGCATAATAAAACAAAATACGTAAGCCTCTATGCTATGGCAAAGTGATAGTTTGATCTCATTTTACTTCCACAATTAGTTTACATTTAAAATTTAAGTACAATATTAGAAAAAATAAATATAATCTCGATGATGTAATGTAAATCATGTAATTATAACAATTTTATAAATTTCAGTATTATCTAATTATAAAATTAATCGTGCAAAACACAGATATAATAAACCTAGTATTAAGCACCAAAGTAACATAATATATATTAACTTCATACAAAAAATTTATTATTAATATGCATACATATTAATATTGAATATGACATAATAAACCTAGTATTATTATGAATTATTAATTAAATACATGCATTTAACCTACATATTGAAGATGGCATGATTAACAAGCGTAGAGTAGTAATTAACATGAAGATGAATTATATATAGAAATCATAATTAATTAATATTGTATAGAAAATTTGCCTACTATATATATATATATATATAATACTAAAATATTAAGCATGGATTTGTCAAAGAAACTTGGCTAGAGCAGTCTTCACCACATAATTGGCAACGATACCATTGGTTTTCTCTGTTGGGTGGAAAGAATCCCAGAACACATACTTGTCTGCATCCGAACATGTGAAGGGGTTAGTCCGACTGCATGCATATCCCATTTCGAACATCCCTGACGCACAGCATGCCACCTCTGTTACCTCAAATCCTGCATATATATATATATATATATATTTGCCAATCCAAATCAAACATTTTTATTATTTATAACAGTACTCATATAATAATAATAGTATTAATTAAAAAAAAAAACAGTAATCTTAGTTCTTGGTGGATACCACTCCTTATAAAATTGAATTTTCAATTTAAAAATTTTGATATATATTAGTTTGCTTGTAACCCATGTCGTTGGGGGAGCATTAAATGCACAAACGACGATTTTGGCAAAAAAAGAAAAAAGGTAGAAGTCTCAAAGTAGGCTTGTAGATTGCATAAAAGTTAGTATTCAATTTGTAGGCGAGAAACCTGAGTTCAAACTTTAATACGAAAAAAAATCAGTGGGGCACCAACCCCTTATGCACAATTCTTTTAGTGAAATAGGTGAGTTTCCAAGTTCACCAGTGGAAAGCGGTGTATTGAATATAACAATAACTCCTTAACTACCTAAGTCAAATATTGTCTTAGAAGGTGGTTGGGGTAAAAAAATAGTGCATGAATGTGCATGACACAATCAATAAAAGCATGAATGAAAATTTGACAATAATTAAGTCAAAAAATACGTCAATTTAGATGATATACATGTTAATTAGATTTTTGAAATTATAGATTTGAGAGGATTTAAAAGCATATTAATAAATAAAAATAAAGAGATTAAGGGTAGATTATAAATTAAAAAAAAAAATCAATAACTAACCATAAACGGCAGGTTTTCGTATGATTTCCATTAAAATCCAAACGGATCTGAAAAGACCATGTCCATCCCATGAAGCTCCTTGTTCTGCTTTATCACCGAATCGTTCAATTTGCTATTGAACTCGGCTGCCAAGTTGTTGTAACTATCCACACACTCACTTCCTCCCATAAGATTGCGTGTTCTTTCCAATGGCATGCACCCCATTGGAGGCAACCCTCCTAACGAAATTTTTCTGGCTCCAAGATCGTAGAGTTTCTTTGTGAAATTTCCAGCGATGCCAACCAGGAAGTTTTCATATTCTTTGATGGTGTATTGCGATGAACGGCCTGGGATTGCGTAATAGTTTTCAAGGAAGTCATTTGTTCCAATGCTTATTATGTATAAAGCCTGGCTGATTATATCGTTCGCTTTATCATCTCCAAGATTGGCTTTCAGTTTCCTTTGATAATCCTTGTAGTACTCTAGCTCTTTCCAGAGTGGTATCACTGACTGCAAAGCAGAGTATTCAAATTCATTGAGTAGATTAGTTGTATGAAGTTTGAGTTAACCTATATGATAACATAGTTGGTTTGAGCATATACACACATACACAATAAGAGTACATAAACCGAAACTTTGTCTAGTAAGTTCATACAATCATCTTGATATCCAATAGGTCTGAAATTTAAATCATAATACTTACAATTTTTTTTCTTATTTTCAGATCTACGATCTCCTTTGTATCAAAAAAAATCTTAAGAGTACATGCACACGTACGTACAAATATTAACACTTGAATTCATGTGCAAAACCTGTTGATCCTTTGCCTGAGGGAGGATTAATTTAGAATTTAAATACGACAATTGAACACATTCCCATTGGTTGTCACATGGGATGCGTATATATAGTAGTATTTTGGATGTGAATACTAAGTGTATGCTTAATTTGCTTATTTTTCACTTTTCTAGAACACAGGATTAAAAAATAATTTGATGGAAACTTACAAGAACATCAGAAGTGGCATTGTCATAGCCGGTTCCAGCAGAAGCGAAGGAAACACCAGTGGCAAAATCTGATATATTATATGCAGGATCAAGGTAGGCAGGAATGGCCCCTTTGAGCCCAAAAGCCTGGGAGATGAAGTCGGTTGCGATTTTGCCATTGGAGAACCTTCCTGTTGGATGGCCACCATTAAAATCACGACCATAAGGCTCAAAATTGCTCCTAGCAATCGTGGGAATATAATTGTTATTTCCAGCATCAACTGATGAGTCCCCGAACACTATGATAGCTGGAATTTTTGCACCATTAATCCCTGCAACCAACACCAGAACGCAAAGGAGCCATAAGGCGTGTATCGATGCCATTTGCTTCACTTCTATAAGTTTTCAAACAACACTTCAAAATGTGGAAGGGTAGTGCTAGAGTTAGCTTTCTTATTGTTTCTATCTTTGGGATTGAATTGGAAGGAAGAAGGCTTTGATATGTAATAAATACTAGTAGTAGGAGGAGTAAATGAGATAGTTAAATCTTCGGGGAAATATTGTTGGCAGAATTAATAGCTACCAAAAACTGGTGTAATTGGATTATGCATTAACGGCCAGGTTGGGCCAAGAAGTCAAACTTTTGTGACAAAGACTCTTTTTGCTTTGGCTAAAATTTTTATTACATTTGAAGCTTTTTATTCTTCATTATTTTTTCCAAATAGAAGTCAATCAATTACCTATTACATTATGGACTTTATAGTTGAGAAGACTAAATATATCTATCCATCGAATTACTAGATAGGTCAATGAATTTAATTCAAGACAAGTAGAATTTTGGACAAGACTTTTAAAGTTTGGATTCAGTATTACCTAAGAATATATCATATAAATAAATATATATTTTTTAATTAATTTTTACTAAAAATATTAATATAAAAAATATATTTTAATATTTTTAATAATATAAGTAGCTCAATTCAACAAATTGGACCTTGTTATGACTGAAAATCACCAATCTAGCTAGAACAAAAACTATTTTCAATCCTAGCGATAGGTTCAAATTTAATTTAATCTTTATTCGGCCAATAAATGTGATTTAATTAACTTTAAGAATTGTTTAATTTGACAACAATTGAACGATGCATATATAAAAATTGTTAATTAAGATATTACAAATAAAATTGTTTATTTTTCATAATCCATTTTTTAGATTTTAAAATCCAATTTTTTTTAATTAAATCTAGACTATATATCTTGAAATCAATCAAGTTGATGATTCAAATTGTAATTACATCATTTAACACATAAAACACACACACACACATATATATATATATATATATATATATGAAACGAATTATGGGAGATGTATCACATAAAATGGATATAAACTGGAATGATAAATTTATGTTGTGAACAACATTGGGGAGAAACTAGCTAGCTTCAGTCCACAAGAACAACTGGCAACCAAAGATCTGTGAAAGTGAAAGCGAAGAGAAAAGAGAGATTTTATTTTATTTTTTAATAGACACATACAATGCAAGTTATTAAAATGTGGTTGCAACCGCCCAAGACAATGACTGCTTCAGCGTGCTTCTTCTTTCGTGTAAGTCAAGGCATTGAAAGGCCTCCCCAACGAGAATGGAGGCGCTTTTCCTTTCTCTGCAACTAACTCATTATATTTTCTTAAGGAATTTGTCAATCGTATTCTTTTTCTCGTCCGCCATATTAATTTTCATGACTTGAGTGATATCCCTTCTGCGACAATAAATCAAACAACATGGTTCTTTGGCCTTGGGACACTTAATATCTATATCATCGCAGCCACATTTAATTTAGGAGACAAGAGATATATATATTGATCACAAAGTTATATATATACCTCAAATATCAGCAGCATGCAGTTACTCTTCTGATCCGAATCCTGTACTGGTGATAAACATTCTTATGATCTTCTATATCAGGGAAAGAGAATATTGTTGCTACCCATCCATGGAAGGTGGGGGTCCATTTTCCCTAGGGCAAGGACGCATAACAGCATTTTACACTGCTTCTAAAGTTAGATCACTTTAATGCTGCTCTTTGTTACAAACATGCACGCAGCAGGATTATCCTTTTCTTTTTACATAAAATAAAGACAAAGAAAATTGCATTCTTTGATGCAAATGGCTTTAGATATAATATCTCAGTTGTTACACTGTACATTCATACATGAATGTAGAAAACCAAGAACTTAGTTTTGATAAATTCAAGTACTTCGTACTTGATTGACACATATAGCGTGCAGAATTTTTTTTATGGTTGTTATATATATTCAAGACTTTTGTAATACATCGTCGTAACGGTTTTAAAACCGTTCGACGAATTTAGAAATAAAAATAAAAAATAGAATTGTTATTAATTTTTTTTATTAGATGTGATTAGTCATTTATTAAAATTTATTTTTTTAATAAAATTTTAAAATTAATTAAAATTTATTCAAAAAATAATTTTAAGTTCTGCGAAACAATCTGAGTATGAAAATCGATTACATGTGAAAAAAAATTAATACTCTCACAGTGCTTGTTTAGAACGATATCAATTAATTACATATTATCCATTAATTTTTATCAAAATAATTTTAATTTCGATATTTGAAAAAAAATGATTTCCCTGCCTTCTTTTGTTTATTGCAGTTTTGGTTTTTATTTTATTTTATTTTATTATTGTTCAAATTTTATTTGTGAAAAATAAATTAGAATCATTTTAATGAAATAATTCTTAAAATGTTTCAGTACATTAGTAACATTAGAAGAACTTTTTCATACCTAAAGATTTTTTATGCATCGCTTTTTGAAATTCCTTAGAATTTTATCCTCGAATATTCGAATTTGCTTTTCTTAAAAATTATGTCATGCATGTAATACAAATGATAATATGTTAATGCACAAAATTTATTTTTTCCTTTTAGAATTTATTGACTTTGTTTATTGAATTATTATTTAAATTTTTGAAGAAAAGAGGAATTTTTATTATATTGAAGATTTTCTATAAATATTTCAATACACCGGTAATATTTAAAAGATCTTATCACCTAGGAATTTCTTAAAGCATCTCTACTTAGAATATTTTTAAAATCCTGTCATCGGATAAATTTTTTTTCATTTTTATCACTTATTTTTAATAAATTAGTTATTTTATTTTTTTATTAATAACAAAAAAGAAAAATTTTTATTGTATTGAATTTTTTTTAATAAATACTCTAATACATGGATAGTATTTAAAAAAAATCTTACCTAGAGATTTCATAGGTATCACTACTCGGAGTACCTTTGAATCTCATCATCGAATAAAAATTTTTTTTAAAATTTTTTATTATTTTTGTATTATTATTATAAAGTTTATTTTCAAATTAATAAAATTATAAAAATTTTAACTATATATATTTTTTATTGTTATTTATTGAATAATTATTCTAACAAATATAAACATTTTAATATGCATAAATACTAATAATAAGATTTAATATAACAAAAAAATTTCAAAAAAACTTTACTTGAACCAGAGCGATCAACAGTTCGATCAATGTTAGTCTAGGTTAGTCTGATTGGTTCAGCAGTTCAACGTCGATCTGGTCCGGTCTGGGCCAATTCAACTGGATTGGACTGTGCTAGTGCTGAGGGTGCCAGGTTCGGGTCGGATGCACCGACCATGGGTCTAGTTTTGGGTTGACGCGCAGATCCTACTAGGTTAAAATGATATCATTTTGATCTTTTATTGAAACGATATCGCTTTGATTTTCAACCTTTTACAAAAACTAAAATTTTTTCTTTCATTTTTATTTTTTATCTTTTTCTCTTTACCTCTCTCTTGCTCTCAGATCCTTTTTCTCTAAGCCATTTGGCCGGTTGCTGTCCGTCATGCTGGCCGTCGGTCATCGTTCATCGTTCATCGTCGTGGTCTACGACCATCGAAAATTCTCAAAAACTCCCAAAACACTCCCTTCAATTTCCTATTGTCATATCCAACCTCCCTTTCACAAAAGAGCCCTAAACGTCCTAGATCGACCTTCAAAGTTTCAACTAAACCTTTCTCTTTTTTTGGAATTCTAACTTACGTTTTTTTTCTTTGAGACTAATTTTTGTTTTCTTTTTTTTTTTTTACAAGGGGCTCTCAACGGGACTGAGCTTTTTGTTTTATTTTTTTGACATAATACTTTTTTTGGGCAGCTTTTTCTGTCTTAAGGATTGGTCATGGAGCTCTATTTATAGAGCTTCGACCATAAGTTTACGTCTGGGTAGGTGGCACAGGACTTGGCAGAGAGGAAGGTGCCATACACCAGCCCCCTCTCTGCCCCCTTATTTTTTGCTTGGCCTTGTCTTGGCCCTTTGCCTGGGTGGCAGTGGTGAACAGGGGTGAATAGGGGGTGGCAGTGGTGCCATGCATGACACCCACTGCCACTAGCCCTTTTGTTTTTTGTTTTTTAGGTTTATTTTTTTGTATTTTTTTATATTTCTTGTTTAATTAATAAATTAATATTAATGTAAAAAAAGAGAAATAAATAAAATAAAATAAAAAGTAGACTTTGGGCTTAAATAATGAAACTAAGCCTTTGATCGGGCCTCAAGCTCAATTGAATCGAAATCAGACGTTGGTTCGAGAACCTGATATTCAGCAAACATTAAACCGAGACCTAATTAAAATAATCTGGACAAATTTGGTGTCTACACGTATAAAATAATTTTTTATATAGTTTCACTTAAGCATCTACCTAAAATTAATTAATAATAAATATAGAATAAATTTATTCATGAATCAGGTCTGATCAAATTTGAGTTGAGTTTAAATAGGATATTTATAAATTTTAACTTTGTCAAGGTTTACTCGACCTAAAATATTGGTCTCAATTTTATGTTTAGGCTCAACTTATTTTTAAAAGAAGTTGTCTAAGCCTTACCAAGCTTATTCAGATTTTAATTTTTTTCAAATAAAAATAAAATAAATTTTATAATAAATATTAATTATGAAAAAATAAATAATCAACAAAATAAAGACTCAAAAAATGACTTTGTTAATTTAATTTGGTGTTTGAATGAGATTTATACATGTAGATATAAGGTATTAATGTGTGCATATATATTATTAGTTAGTTATTTATTTTTATGTAATATAATTATATATATAATATATAAAAATTATTTGGATTAAGTCGAGTTTGAGTCTTAAATGTCATGTCTAAAGGTCGGTGCATTTTTTTAAATGAGTTTAGAATTAAGTTCAAACCCATTTAACAGACTTAAAATTCATTTCCAAACCCTCACAATTTTCTAATGGGTAGCTTGACCTTTTTGGACAAGTCTAATAAAAGGGTCTAAGTTAAACATAAACAAAATCACAGGAAACTCAATATTTAACGAATAAGAAATAATACCACTTTAACATGCCAATATCACAAAAACCTATTACATGATATACTTAAAAAAGGTATAAGGTAAGACTTTATCATGTTTAGGCAAAATTATCATGTGACAAGGTTGAAAAAGATATATAAGGCAAGAATTACAAAATAAAACTTGAATTTTGATACAGTATCTAATTTAGCTAAAATCAATTGATAATAGACAAAGAGACCTAACTTAAATATAAAATCATAAAAAATTCAATCTCTAATATATATATAAAAAAAAACTATTTTAACATTTTTTTCCATTCATTTTTCATCAATTAATTTATCTTTTATACATCTTCGTCTTATAAAACTTGATATAAATCATTTTCCTGTATACTTGGACCCCATTCTCTATAATATTTATTTATACTAGAATGTTGCCCCTACTTCAAATGGAAATTTTTTAATTTTTACAAAAAATAATTTAAAAAAAGTTATTTTTTTAGTTTTTAAATTTTGTAGATTAAAAAAAAAAAGTTTGAAAATCTTATATCTAGAGTTTTTTATATGATTGTTTGTATAGATTGGTTGTTGTTATTTTTTTGTAATTTATTAAAAAATCTTAAATATAATATTTTAAAGTTTTTAATTATATATTTTTTGTTTTTAAAAGACATTTTTAAAAATATTTAAATTTATTGATCCGATAAATTTTTAAAAAAATTTATTATTTTTTGGGAGATCATTTAGTTGATTTTCATGTAAATTATTTTTTCAATTGATTATTTTTAGTTGTAATTTTTTTGTCACAATAATTTATTGAAATTTAATATGTTGGTTAGTTTTAAAATTTTGAAAGTTGATTTTTTTCTTTGATAAAGTAGATATATTTTTATGGATTTTTTTTTATTATCTATGTGCTTTTTTTTTCTTTACAAAAGTATTTGAAGGTATTGTAATTGCCAACAACAATGACATCTCTATACTCAACTCTTACTATGTTTTTTTTATTATATAAGCAAATAATTTTTTTGAATTTTTTTATTTTAAAAATTTTTACATGTTAAGTAAAGGGTTTGTCACATGTTAACATAATAACATTAGAAATATTTGAAAAAAAAATAAAAAACAATAAAAATAACACATGGCAAGCAATGAACTTGCCACATGTCACTATACTGTTCTCTAAGGATTATTTTTATATATAGGACAAGCATCTATTGCAGACCTCTTCCTTAACTTTGACCCAACAAAAATTAAGGTATTCTAACTAAATATCTTTTCCATCACTTTAATAAATAAGATGAATATTTTGTCACTACAAAAATAGTATAAGTATACTGTTGTTATGTGAACGACCATGTTTTCTAAGTTATTCTTTACCTTTTTATAAACAAATGACTTGGAATCTATTAATTATCCATAATGTTGGAATCTATTAATTATCCATAATATTTGTTATGCCATTACTTTCCCTTGGTATTTGATGTTTCAAAGTAATAGATTTTTCTTTTTGTGTTCAAATGGTAGGTTTTATTCTGTATTGAATTGCAAATACAATTATTTTTATATTGAATTGTTAGGTATTAGAAACTTTAAATCTTAATCCTTAAAAAATTCTAAATCTTAATATATAATTTTATTTTACTTTAACGATAAAATACGGGCTTCTATCTAATATATATATATATATATATATATATATATATATATATGCTTTATCGTTGATTTAAAATATGTATCACAAACTAAATTTTGATATGTTATTTTAAAATTAAATAAAAAAATTTGTCTAAACCTTAATATATAATTTTATTTTATTCCTGCGACAAAGCACAAGCTTCTAGATTCAAATCAAGCTTCTAAATATATTTCAAAACAAAATCGATCTTGCTAAAATGAAAATTAATTGTTAACAATCATGTAATCCGTTAACAGTGTACTGAATTTTTAATTTTAGGGAATAGGAGATAATTTTAAATATAAAAAAATTAAAATGGAAATTAATTACCTCCTCTGACAATAAGCAATCTATAGAACATTGTTTTGGCATGGAGGTAAAGTTACAATGTGCTGAGCAGAAACTAGCTAGGAAACTTGAAAGTGGAGAAAGCATGCATGGACTATAGGACCTACGATTAGAAAACTTGAACTTGATCAGGTGTCATAAATCAGGTCGAGTCAAGCTTGGTTAATTTTTTGAAACTTGTATTCAAGGTCTGACTCAATCCGCAAGGCTTGAAAATATTTTAAAGATGTTAAAATATTTTTAAAATATATTTAAAGGCATAAGTATAAAAGAGCTTTTGAATTAAAATTAAATAATCATTCAAGTTTTATTATTTTATTATATCCAATTAAGCTTTCAAATATTTATTGTTATTAATTAAACTTTTATTAAGTGCAAAATAATTATATGAAGACACTCATTTTTATTCAATTAAAAATTTAATTAAATAAAAATATATATTTAAGAGTTCAATTGATTACAATAAAGTGATAAAACTTTAAATAATTATTTAATTTTTATTTAAGTATTTTTTTTATACTTAAGCCTATTTCAAACAAAATAAAATCCAATATCTGAATCTAATGAAAACCCCTATTCAACCAAATATTATAATTTGAATTGGTTTTTTATTTTTTCCATACCATTAAAATGGCAGATTATACATTAAAATTACAAAAAATTGACCTGCATGATTAAAGTCGTGTACTATATATAAATAGAGAGAGAGAGAGAGAAACGAACGTTATAATTCTTAAATTAAAAATAGTAGCTCATAATAGGAATAAATTATGAATAGCTATAGCCAAAGTCATCGCAAATCAATGAGAAAACTTAGCTAAAAGACCTGGAATGAGATGATCGGAGATGATTTTGTTTGTTTTTTCGGTAGGATGGAAAGCATCCCAAAATACATACTTATTGGCATCACTACATGTAAATGGATTAAACTGACTGCAAAGGTAACTCATTTCAAATGTCCCTGTTGAACAGCAAGCCAATCCTGCCACCTCAAATCCTGCAACCAATTTTTTTAACAAAATTTCACTTCTCCAATTTTTAGTGCATTTTATATGCAGGGATTCAAAATACTCAACCATGGAAAAAGAGGTCAAATTGAAGCTAAAATACTAAAAAGAAACCATTTAAACTATTCAAGTTTATTTAAATAAGCAATTATACTTTTATTCTACTTAATAAACATTTATCATTTTATTTGTATTTATACAAGTTCTTATTTTTTGTTCAAAATATATATAAGCCCTTATTTTAAATTAAAAATTAATTTAGATTAAAGATTTTATTTGGATAAAAATTAAATATTAAAAATTTATTATGGTACAAATTAAATGTTAAAAATTTATTTAAATGCAATAAAAATATAAAAATTTGTTTAAATAAAGGGATAAAATTCAAGAGTTTTTATATTATTTTAACCATAAGGTATTTAAGCAAATCAATTGTTTGTACGTGAAACAAAATAGTATTTTACTTACTAATAAATTACAATATTATAAGTCATTGTCTTAATAATGAATCAAGTTTTTTTGTTTTTATAAGTGATTTACTAGATAGTTTTTAATATCAAATATCCATCCCTTAAAAAGTCACTTAATATTCAAATTATACTCATTATTAGACCTATTCAAGAGTTAAGTTATACGTCCAAATTTTGAAAGGATTTGGACAAAAAATTAAAACATGTTAAAAGAGTTTTAAAATAATTTTTAAATTCGTTTAAATTTTAGACCAAATTTTGAACAAAAAATTTAAAATCTGAGCCCAACTTAACTCAATCCAAATTCATATATATATATATATATATATATGAATTATATAAAAATTAACTTAAAGATATATAAAAATTATATATTTTTTATTAAATTTAATTTTTATTTTTAATTTATATATATAATTTATATTTTTAATTTTTATATAATATGAATTAAATATAATTTCATTAAACTCAATTTAATCATATTTTTTTAATTTTTATTATATAAGTTAAGTTAATGGATGAGTTTATAATTTATTTTTTTAATTTGAATCGGATTTGAAAAAATTTTGAAATCCAAAATTTGAATTAGATTAAATTTAAATAAATATATAAATTATTAATATCAAATATAAATTTAATCCAAATTCAACTTAACCCATGAACACCTCTACTCATCATAACTTGTAAATATATTATTATACAACTACATGCAAAACACTTGAATTTAAGGGTGTACTTCATCTTAAATCAAATTTAATATTTTCTATAGTTTTAAAATTTGAAATAATTTTCTTTAATTAACTTTAATTCATTATTATTAATTGTAAATTATCTACAATAAATCATATATATATAATATCATCTAATTCTTATATGTTCTTATAAGTCATATAATTCATGCTATTATGAAATATTTATCATAAATTTTCATTTAAAAGTATTACCTATATAAAATAGAGGCTGAAATCTTATTATTATTATATTTTAATTAGTTTCTGATATCATTCCTAAAATGTTTTTTAATGATCAAGACATAATTAAGTCAAACCAGTGCCGGCCCCGTCGGGTAAATATTTTTACCTCACCCTAAACGGTGCGTTTTGCACCTTAATAAATATTTTTTTCATTTTTCATTTTATTCTTTCTCTAAAACTTCTTTTCTCTAAAAAAATAAAAAACTCTCTTCCTCTTTCTAACAAAATAATCGAATTCATTAAAAATCCATATTTCCATAGTTTTCACCGGCGTCGCCACGCCCTTTGTTGTTAGGCGATACTCGCTGGAATTCGTCTCTCACCAAAAGACACTGAAATCTTCCTCTTTTCTTTCTCTTTATACTTCTTCGTTTAGTTTTCCAAAAACCCAACAGATTTTCTTAAATCTTAACTCAAAACCCACGGCCTTCCTCAAAAAATCCGTTTCCACCGTTCAAAACACTTGCAGCTCCTAGTATGTTATTTATCTAACCCATGCCTCCCCATCACCAAATTAAATGCCTCGAAACCCTCTAGAAAACCTCAAACCAAAACCCTTTTTTGATTTTTTTTTTTTGTGTTTTTATTGTGTGCTTTGCGTGGCTCCTCTTGACGAAGATGGCGTTGATTTTTAACTGTTTCGCTTTTCTTTTTATTTATGTTTTCGGATAGGTGGTAGGTTGAAGGGCTAAGAAGGTTGCTTTAGGCTGTATGGGTCATTATGTGATTTTAGTTGGCATTTGGCAGTGGTGGTGAGAGGAAGTGTAAGACTGAGATTTGATTTCTTTTAGATTTTTTTTTTTCAGAATTTGCATTTATTATTTTTGAATATTTTAATTTTATATTTTGATTAAAAAATAAAAAAATAAATTTATAATATTGAAAGTGTAAAAAAATAATAATTTAATAGTAGATAGATGTTAACAAATTATCTTTTAGGAGATAGTTTAAATATATATATATATATAAATAAATGAGAAATCAATTTATATATTGTAAAATTAAAAAATTTATATATTTTTTTAATTTTAATTTTAAGAGATTTAAATAATGAGAAAATAACTAAAAATAGAAAAAATGATTTAATTTTTATTAAATTTATTATAATTAATGATTAAAAAATATACAAAATTAAAAAAATTATCTATGATGTTGTCGAAATACAATTCGGCCGTGTTTGCCAAAGCCCAAATGGTAGGATTGAGTTTTGAAGACTCAAGCCAGAGAGCTGTTGGCTTGTTTCCCCATTTAACAGTCATTAAAAGCTTTTACCAGTGTCTTAGATGGCAACTGCCCTACGTGCCTTTTCTTTGGATCATATGGCAGGCTTTAAGCACTGCCCATTATTATTTATACAACAATATTTATTGGTCAAATCAATTCAATCGTACTATTTTTTTTATCTCTTTATTATTTTGTAATGGATTAATATTTTTATAAATCAAATTTTAATAATAATACTCATATTTGTTAAAATTTTGAATTGATAGGATATTTTGATCTAAAAATGTTGCAATTTTATTATTTTAGAATAAGTAATTAAATATTTTAATTAATTTAAAGTTTGATATACGTAATATATGTGAATAAAACAAAAAATTTAACTGTTAGATCAAATAAATATAAATAACATAATGAGATATGAAAAATTAATTATATATATGTGTAAATTGATCCTTTATAAAAGTATTAATACGTACGAAATCAACAATAATTTTTATTAAATTGTGTGAATTTGATTGGGGTTTGATCACTGTGATTTTTATTTTATCATATTTAAAGTTTAGGTACATATATAAGCTAAGCATTAATATCCCAACTCCTATAAAACCAGGGGCGGAGCTCATATATGGTTGAGGGGCCCCTCCCCCAAATATTTTAAAATCTTTTAATATTTATATGCATTTATATTAAACAAATTTCAATGGTCTTTCAGTCTAATACTGTTAATATTTTTTTATAGTTTTATTATATTTAATTTTATACTTTGCATTTTAAGAAAGTTAAAATTACATTGTTATTTGTCTTTCTATTGTACTTTTTAATTATTATTTAAAAATCTTTAAAATTAAAAATTTTGTTGCAAATTTTAAATCATAATCACGTGACGTTAAATTTTTAATTTTTTCAACAATAAAAAATCCAACTTAATTTTAAACTTTTCTTCATTCATATTATATTTCACTTTTAATTATTCTAAATCTCTATCTAGTGTTGCGTCTACAATATTTGCAACACAAAAATCATATTAGAACTATTTAAAAAGTTATTAAAAACACAATTAATTTTCAATTACAAAATTTTCAACTTCATTTTTTAAAAACATATTTATTTTTCTTGTTTGTAAAATTTTTTTAACGATCTATTTAACCTTATTAAAATTATTGATTTGTATTTTTTTAATTTTAGATATAAAATATAAAAGAATCAAAAAAGATTTTATATTTATTGAAAGATTGTGTGATTAGTAATTCTACCATTAATTTAAAATTTATTTTATTCTTAAACATTTGATATAATAATATTTTTTTTAATAATTTTTAAACTCAACTTTTTATTAATATATTTTTATACACGTATTTATATTATTAAGAATACTAAAAAACATCTTACAAAAAAATAAGTTAAAATATAATATTAATTGACCATCTCATATCCATCACTATAAAACACATTAATTTTCTTCCAAATTAATTTTTCTACCATTATTTGTTTCAAGCAATTAATTAAAGAAAAATAATGAAAAATGGTTCAGTCCACTAATCTTTTCGTTTACAGGTGAAGTAAGAAAGAGGAAAATTGCAGTAAAAGAGTACTTACCGAAGAGTGAGGGTCTGCTAATAATTTGATAGAAAATGTCGTAAGCAGGTGCAGACACCATTCGCATTCCAGGAAGCTCTTTGTTCAGCTTAGCCACCAATCCTGCCAATTTCCTGTTGAATTCCCGAGCCACATTGTTGTATTCAGCGACACATTCATTTTGACCCAGGATATTCGTGGCCCTCTCCAGTGGCAAACACCCCATTGGAGGAAGGCCTGTGATGGACAGCTTCCGAACTCCAAGACCGTGGAGTTCCCTGATGAAATTCTCACCAAGTCCCAACAGGAAACCCTGGTATTGTCTCACTGAGAACTGGGATTTTCGGGTGGGAAAAATGTAGTAATTTTCTAGGAAATCGTTCGTCCCTAAGCTCATCAAGTACAAGGCTTCCCTCATAATTTTATTTGCCTTCTTCACACCAACATAGGCTCTCAGTTTTTGTTGGTATTCCTTGTAGTACTCTAATTCCTTCCATAGTGGTATCACATTCTGCAAAACATGTATGATATTTGAGCAATAACACAAACCGAAATAACCCAAGTAAATGGAATTCGAGCGGTGGCTTACAAGCACTTTGGAGGTTGCATTGTCGTAGCCAGTTCCAGCAGAGGCAAAACAAACTCCAGTGGCAAAATCTGATATGTTATAGGCTAGATCCAAGTAAGCTGGAACAGCTGGCTTGAGTCCAAAAGCCTCAGAGATGAAATCAGGAGGTATTCGGCCATTGCAGAAGCGTCCAGTCGGGTGACCACCGTAAAAATCACGACCATAAGGCTGAAAATTGCTCTTCAGAACTGTGGAAATCACGTTATTGTTTCCCGAATCGACGGAGGAGTCTCCAAACACTATGATGGCCGGAACTTTGGCTCTGGCTGTAGTGAAAAGTGTTAGAGATAAAGATAAGAAGAACCATGAAAGACATGTAGTGTAAGACATTTCACTTGCGTATTTCTTCGGAACTCACTTCACTACCCTCTCTGCAAGCAGATCTGAGGCTTAGGAAACTGAATTGAAAGTTTAAACAAATTAAATATAAAGCGGTTTGGTGGGAGTTTTAATGGAAAATGATAATAAAAGAAATATCTACCTGCACCAACTATATGTGTCCTTTTCTGTACCATTGGTGTAGAGAGGGGCTAACCAGGAGCTGACATAAAGAGTTTTGCACTTTGCGGTAAAGAAAACTGTTACATGTAGTATTTGTTTTTAGAAATTATATAGTAGAAAAAAAAAAAGAAAGATCAATAATTTACGTCGGGAAGGAATTAATTTTTGTTTTTTCCAGTAATTCTCAATAATTTAACAAAAAAGAAATATCCGGAGTTTGAAATTATATATAGAACTTACCATATGGTATGTTTTGTCGAGGGCAAAGTATAATTTTTTTTTTTGCTATTTATGATTGTTAAAATTAAAATTTTAATTAATAAAATTAAAAATAAAATATTCTATCAATATAACATATCTGTTGACGACGAAATATAAGCTAAAACAAGTAACACAAAAAGTTTCTTGCTATTACAAAAGGTTATTTAATAAAACATAAAACATTTTAATTGGCGGTCTTGGTATTTGTGTCTTTCTGTTTAAATGATAAAATATTAATTTTATTTCCATTTCCATCAACTTAATTAATTGATGGTTCCTAATTAATAAACCTTCAAAAAAAGAAAATGTAAGATATTTTCATATATTTAAATTTGAAAAATTTTGACCCACAGGAGCAGTCCATATGGAAAAGAAAGAGAGGAGTTCTATTAATTTCTTTATCAACCAAAATTTTATTTTTGTGAATATCATTTTAAAAGTAAAATTTTGAAAGTACCATATTAATATGCAAAAATATATCTTTAAAATCGTTTGAAATGAAATTAAATCCAAATAACACACAAAGATATCCCTAATTGAATTACCAAAAAATGAAATGATATTTACATTCCTTAAAAATACTCCTAAAAAACGTAAAATACCCTTTAATCTTAAGAAATTATTTTAAGGAGTACATGCAACAGTCCAAAAAAAATTTTAAAGATTTGCCAATGCAAAAATATTAGACCAAAAAAAAAAAAAAAAAACCAAAAGGATCCCTAATGATTTGGCCTAATTAATTAAATCTCTATCCCAACATTTTGTCACCCAATAAAATTATGAAGCATACCATATCGTTATTTTTCATTGCTTTGACGAAGGCTAAGCTAACTTAAATTGACTATAACTAAGGCTATCCATACGACTCTAAAATTTCTCTCTAGGACTCATGCTTATTATTCAACTTTAAGTTATGATTGTGACTCTTTTTTCAATTTGTTTTTTTCATTTCCAAAAGCAAATATATTATTTAATTAGATACAATAGCACTTTGGGGATAACAAAATTATTTTTCTTCTCATACAAAGATTTGGAAGCATATTTGTTCGGGAAAGATCTCACATTGCTAATAATCAAGGATTCACGACTGTGATTTGTATGAGGGTCTATCCTCTTCCAGGCATTTTAGGGTAAAATCATGAGGGCGGTTTGTAAAGTTCTCAAAATAGACTACTTTTGTCTCAGATGCAATCTAACAATATTTGCATCAATAAATTATTAAATCTATGTCAAGTATCTCTTGATGAATTGATATGTTATTCGAGTTGAAATTTAAAAATTATAAATTCGAAGAAATTTATGTAAGTAATGTTTTATTCAACCAGATAAATATTAAGATAGAAGAGTTTAAAAGTAAATTAAGAACTTGAAAAAAAAAATTACACAATTTGTGCATACTCCTTACCTTTGCTAGAGAGGCTAATGTTCTTTAATAACCAAGAATTAGATTGTGGCTTATAAGCAAGTTCTTAATTTTTTACCAAAGCCCCTTTTTACAAAGATAAAATCACGACAACATGCTGTTAAGCCTCCGAACTAAACAATATCTTATAAGAGATACAATCCAACAATATTTGCATCAATGATATTGTTACTTTAATATTAATTGGATCTTTGCTCGCGCTTTCATGGTGATAAGATTTCGGAAGAGTAAAATATTTATGGCAAGTTTAAATTGATATGGCAAATTATAAAGCACCACTTTAGATCAAACAATCAATTCGATAAAAATTCTACAGTAAATGATATTATCTCTAAGCATTGAATTATGAAAGTTTTGTTTTATTTGGTGACTTGGAATTTGGAGTTTAGTTATTGTGATATCCTTATTTGAGCATGGGTCGAAATATTTTTACATTAGAGCTCTAGATCATCACATACACTGGAAAAATTAACGAAGGTTCATCACTTCATATCATGATATTACTTTTTATCTTTTACCTCATCCGGATATACATAGATATAATAACAAAAACATATTACTAATTATTTTAATAAATAAAATTATATTTTAATTTATAGGCTAATGATTGGTACATATTTAATCCACAAATTGATTATAATCTATTAAATTTAAATAGATAGAAAAAATTCACTCATCTATTATAGATTCTACTAACAAATTAGTACATAGATAACTTATGGCTAATGTTACCATGAATATAATTAGAGTCATCAACGGGTCGGATCGGGATAAATTTTTGCTCGTCCCGAACCTGATCCAATTTTTTATCCATTAAATCCGAGTCTGACACGACCCGAATTTTTTTTAATTTTTTTCATATCCGATCCTGATTCGGCATTTGTATAAATTATATTTGATTTGATCCGATCTAAAATTAATAAAATATTATTTTTTAAATATAAATATTTAAATATATAATTACATAAATATATAAAAATTAAAAATTAAATAAATAATTAAAATTTTAATTTTTATAAAAATATCGGGTCGGATCGGTTTACCTAAAATTCAGACTCGATCCTCCCGAAACTTGATTTAAAAAAAAAAAAATTTGACCTTAAGAGGTTGAGTCGGATGAAAACCCGTCGAAAACGGATTGGGTTGCCTACCTTTAATACAATTCATACTAGACAAAACATAAATCCCTACAATGCTTCTAACCACTGCCATGTTACCTGTAACTTTGGAGTTAAGGTGCATAACTCTGCAACATGTACATTTATATAGAGAGAGGTGGGTACCCCTATATTTGGTCAATGTAAGTCACTTGGGCTCAGCTGAAGTTAATAAAGGTCATAAGGGAATATATTTTTTATTAAACAGTAAAGAGAATTTGGACTTTGATCGGTATATATCTAAATTTATCTGCATTAAATCAACGAATTCATAAAAAATTATTTTTTTATAACTTTTCAACAAATTTGAATCCATTGAGGAACGCGCTATAATTTTCATATATGTAATTAATATAATATGGAAAATTGAGAAATCATTACTAATATTAAACAAAGTGAGGTAAGAAATGAGATAGAGGCTTCTGTTGGTCTTAAAAGTGGAAATAAATGAAATTTTGGCTGCCACAAAAATCTGGTTTGGATATAATTGCTGACACTATTTATGTTGAAAGGATAGGTAGCTGAAAACCCATTCTAGAAGGCAAAGCCATATTTATTGTTTGTCTCAAGGGAAGAGGCGAAGAAGAAAGGAGGAGAAATCTGCAAACTCTACTGTTTTGGTGGAGACGGTAGATGAGCAGTTGTACAATTTAAGGCTCTGAGTAAGAGTGCATGGGAGTGGGAAAATGTCAGTCCAAAATTAAGATATGTAAAAGTAAAACATTAAAAGGTTTCCGCAACAAAGAAAGAGGCCTTAATTTGGTGCTCCTACCATGGACTGCGTGAAACTAATATTGTGACATTTATGAATTCGAAAATGATGCCGACTTCTCAGCTTCTGTTATTTAACTTAACCCTTTTGGAGGCTACTTAGGACTTAGCTTTTATCTGCAGGTTTTTCCTGTTCAAGACTTAATAGGCTGGGCGGTCCATCCGGACTTGCAAACCTAAATTCAACTTAATTAACTTGATTTTGTCTGCAGCTTTTATTTGAACTTCAGGAACCGTTGCTATGGAGTTGCAGCTTGCCAGGTTACATTGTTAAGTTACTTATCGAGCCCATTTCTTTACCGAATGATATGTTTGCTGTGGATGAAACTTTAGAATACAGTTGGATAGTCAAGTTAACATCAATATGACAAATCTAGTCCATGGGCGCCATCTCTAAAATTGAATGTTGTTTCCATTATGTTGCATTAAATGAGCAATTAAAAATCAAAATGTCTAGTCTATTTAGGTAATCGGAAAGTTACACCAAGACTCAATTAGGAAGGTCAAGCAAATAACAGGATTGTTAGGAATTTGAATTCTTATTGCTTGAATTAAAAATTTAATATTCTGTCAACGGATCATATAGCTATTGGCAATATAATCTACTTTTTCTCGCATATGCAATAATTAAATCATAAACATTTATTTCTCATTTTGGGAAGATCCTTTTTGAGGGCCTGGCAATCAGATAGCTAGCGTCTCCATTTTTGTGGGTATTGCAATCGGGAGGCAGCAGCATTAATCCAAGTGTTATTGAGATAAGGTAGTTGGAAAACCAAGCTGCAAATTTGCGGATTCTACCTTAATACCAGCTCAACTCAACTGATCTAACAACATCCCTGAAGGGCTGAAGGGCCACATATTCACCTTATCCTCTAAAAATAGTAAACCAAAGCTGTCTTTAAATCTCGCACTGCTTCAGTCTCTAGTTACCACTTGCCACAAACTCATCAACACAAATCAGAATAATTAATCACTGTTTTTGGGCATTTGAAAAAGAAGAATGGCCATAACCAGAGGTATGATTGTTTTCTGCTTCATGACACTGCTTGTATGTTCCATGTTGGTTAAAGCTAGCAAAGCTGGTGATGGTGCTGAAGAATGTAAACGTGCACATCCTGACGACAGCCAACAATGTGCCGATTACCCGGAAGAAGAAGAAGATTTTGATGATACTTACAAGATTGTCAAAGACATAAAGATATCGTCCGAGATGATTGTATTGGGACATTAACTAAATAAATGCTGCTGCAGAGACTCGTTTCCTCCAAGCTTTTGGAAGCTCCCATGGTTCTAAAATCTTCAGTTGGCATCCTTTGATTTACTAGTTGTTCCATTTATTTTTCTGTCTTTTGTCTTTTTAGTATGCCTGAAAGAGTTACTACTTCTGTTTCCTTGTTGCATGCTGTTTGCACTCTTCTTATTTGTTTAATCTGTTTTTCTGAGTTCCATTTTTATCATATTTTTGTTCACCTGTTCTGTTTTTAACAGATTCCATTAGTTTTTGACTTTTTTTTTCTTCTTTATGTTATGGGTTAATTAATTAAGTTGGTAATCTTTAAAATAAAATAGATCCTCTATTTATACTAAAAAAATGTAAATTTCAAGCAAAGTTCTCTGTTTAATCCAAGATATATGCTCTTGTCTATCAATTGAATCCAATGTATATATGTTTGGACAGTAGTGAATATGAAAGATTAAAATAATTAGTATGCTTGATAATTAAAATTTTTTTTTTATTGTT